GCAATTTAAGCTGTTTTCTTATTTGGATTGTTACGTTTGTATCTCGCGCTATTTTAGTTGTTTTCTATTTGGATTGTTACGTAAGTATCTTGCGCAATTTTAGCTGTTGTTACGTTTGTATCTCGCAGAACTTATGCTGTCTTATTTGGATTGTTACGTTTGTTTCTCGCGCCGCTTTAGGTGTTTTTAATTGGATTGTTACATTTGTCTCTCGCGCAGCTTTAGCTGTCTTCTTATTTGAATTGTAACGTTTGTATTTCGCGCAATTATTATTATTATTATTTAGCTGTTTTCTAATCTGGATTGTTACGTTTGTGTCTCGGGCATTTAGATGTCCTATTTGGATTGTAACGTTTGTATCTCGCGCAATTATTATTTAGGTCGTTACGTTTGTATCTTGCGCAATATTATCTGATTCCTTTTTTGGATTGTTACGTAAGTATCTTGCGCAATTTTAGCAGTTGTTATGTTTGTATCCTGCGGAACTTATGAGCTGTCATCTTATCTGGATTGTTACGTTTGCTTCTCGCGCAGCTTGAGCTGTTTTCTTATCTGGATTGTTACGTTTGTATCTTGCGAAACTTTAGATGTCTTCTTATTTGGATTGTAACGTTTGTATTTCGCGCAATTATTATTTAGATCATTACGTTTGTATCTCGCGCAAATTTAGCCGTCGTCTTATTTGGATTGTAGCCTTTGTATCTTGCAGAAATTTATCGGTCTTCTTAATTGGATTGTAGCCTTTGTATCGCGCAATTTTAGCTTTTTAGTATCTCTTGTAAGTTGTCTTATTTGCATTGTTACGTTTGTATCTCGCGCAATTTAAGCTGTCTTCTTATTTGGATTGTTAAGTTTGTATCTTGCGCAACCTTAGCTGTCTTCTTAGTTAGACTGTAACGTTAGTATCTTGCCCAAATTTAGCTGTCTTTTTATATGGATTGTTAAGTGTGTATCTCGCACAACTTAAGCTGTCTTTTTCTTTTGATCGTTATGTTTGCATCTCGCGCAATTTGACATTTTCTCTTATTTGGATTGTTACGTTAGTTTATCGCGCATTTATAGCTGTTCTCAAGTCTCATTTTGATTGTTACGTTAATATCTCGCGCAATTTTAGCTCTTCACTTTTTTCGATTGTTACTTTAGTATCTCGTGTAACTCAAGCTGTCCTTTTTGTTGTTATTTTTCTTGGTCTTAGGCGTACTGTGTTTCTTTGGGATTTTTCTTTTCAAGAAGTCAAAGTTATTTTGAGTGAGTTGCTGAGGATGTGTCAGACTTACTCCAGAGCTCTTCTTTATCTACTTTCTTTATCCCAGGTTTTTCCAGTGAAACTGTGAGTTGCTTTCCTGTTTTTTTTTCTTGATAGTTTGACACCCAAAAAGGAACAACCAGTTTTCACCATCAGTTAGTCTGTCATACGAGTGAAGATGCAAAGTCAGCTCGGTGAGAAAGCTACCGGAGGCCTCTTGCTTCTCTCCCCAGTGTTCCAAGGCTATAACCTTCGTTTCAGGGCTGATTCGTTTAAAGGGCAGATAAATTTGTTGATCGTGCAAATCGCCATCCTGCGGATAAGTGAGAACAGAACGTACTGCCGCATTATCCACCATGTAGCGATTTTTCCAGTTTTTAACGTTAATCATCCTCCTAACAACCGGGGCCAGGCCTTGAAACTGAGACTTTAGCTTAATACTAAATAGATTACCGCGCAGAGAGATCGAAAAAATATGGCGAAATTAAACCAGCTAACAAAGTTGTTCTCGACATAAACGTCTGAAATAGTATTACTGAGTGAAATTTTGTTCCTCCTAGAATTTTCAGCCATCTCCTCCTCCTTCCTCTTTTTCCTCTTCTCAATTTCTCTTTCATTCCTCAGTATTTTTTTTAATATCCTTTGTTGGAATATAACCCACATTTGCTATGTGGAATTAACATTTCCTTAATTCGCAGATTATTCCCTACTTGTTGTACTAACACAGAAAAAAATTTCCAAGGGCACTGATGTATTATGGTCTTTGGTAAAGCTTGTTATTTTAATATTCATAACTTGCAGATCTTTCTCTCACATTCCAACAATCACGTGTACTTTCGGTCGAGGATGAAATGGCTAACGATGCGAAATCTCTGCGTAATTTTGCTGTGAGGAAAACAGCTATTGTTGGCAATTTTTCGTCCAAACTCATCTTTGGTCATAGCATGGTACGTTTTCTTCAACTTGGGCAGAATAAGCGCTGTGGTAGAACAGGACGAAAGACAAAAGGAAGCACGCTCAACTTCCAACTGTTACCTTTGTTGGAGACCTCTTCCAGAAAGGTATTTTAAAATAACTAGCGTTTGCATTGATATTTTATCTTAGTTACCCACTTCAAAAAAGTGTATTTAATATTTAATGATTTGTGCCCTTAAGTTTTCCACGTTAAAGAAGGTTTTGAATTCTTTAATTTTATGCACAAAAGCGCCATTGATATGGTATAATTTATTCTGGCTTCAGAAGCAATTTCTCTAGGATCTCGACCTTTGCACTTTCACGATTCAGCCTTAGTTTGTGAAGAAGTTATACTGATCTAAGAACATGGTTTTATTGTTTTTCACGCTTTCATGTTTAGGGACATTTAATTTTCTTTTTGCTTTTCATGAAATTTGTTGTAATTTCACTGAAATTTTGGAAAACGTTTGGTTGTGTTCATTGTGTATTTTTTGATGATTTTGGATCCCCTGAGACCAAAATGCCCCGCTAAAATTCCATAACGCCTTTTACATTTGGCACCATTTAATTTGCATTTGGGTTCTGAACTGTAAGATCCCTTTACAAAAATTCGCGTCCATTTTGGCACCAACCTTTGTACTTTTTCAGGTTATTCTTCGACAACAAAAAATTGCGAAAGTACTGAGGCTGAAAAAGAAAATCGAGTTAAATTTCGTGTCGTGAAGAATAAAAAACCGATATCCAAATAAACAACGCTGCTACAGTTCTGATGATGTCACGTCAGAATTCTTGTTTTCCCTTGTGCATATCTTGTTATACAAAGAAATGTCGAGATCCTTCTATAAATCGAATAATAATTCTACCCAGCGTGCGGCAATTTGCAAAAGAAGGTTACATAAAATTGTGTTTGAAAAGAGTTCAACGTGTCTGTTGATGTCAGGAAAGTAATGTAACCAGACAACGTATTGCATGTTATTTACGGCTCACTACCGGTAGTTTACCTGCTATTGTTGGCGACTGGTTGCGAGAAAATACAAGTGATGATAAATATTACAAGTGGTAATTAATCAGTTGGGTTGAATGGAAGCTTAAGCGGGAAGATGTATTTTCGTAATATAGCTTTATTGTGTAAGTTGTTATGGAAAATTTATTTGTTAATTCTTTTGTTTTTGTGCTCTTGCAGCTTGTTGAATGGCGGATAACTGAAGTCACAATCAGTTACCAATACTTCAGGATAAAGGTCCTGCAGCCCAAAGACAAGTTCAATGCAGAGGTAGAAAATAAATTTTAACAGAACTCAATTGCGTCAAGATTGATCATTTGATTTTGGGAAGATTTAGTTTCCTTATCGACCTAAAACATCTTTTCTGCTTGTTAGCATCAGGTGTTTCGAATTCAAGACAAGATTTGCTTAGTAACTGCCCTCCATTTTTTTTTCATTTAAGAATTCAGGTGACATCCCTCAAAAAATGTTTTTAATTTTCCCGCCAAAAAACTTAGAAAATACGGGGTGCTTAAAATACGCATGCGCCAGACTTTTTTTCTTTTTTTTGGAAGAGCTGTAAGTAACATCCGGTTAAAATGGCGTAATTTTCCCGCCAAAAAACTTAGAAAAATACAGGCGCCCAAAATACGCCTGCGCCGATTTTTTTTTTTTATCAAAGGTGTGTTTAAGACTCCATATCTTATTACTTTTATATTTCTATGTTGTTATTAAATAAAGTCAATAAACTCGACAGTTTTCACTCATTTCTTTTGTGATCTTTATTTTCATTCATTCAATAAATAGTAATACAAGTCTTAAAACTTTCTCTTTAATTAGTTAAGTTAATTTCCATTGATTAATCAAAAAGATGTTGAGAAAAATCTGTTCAAATATATACTAAGACTTTTGGCGGGAAAATTTAGCAGAATTTGCACAAAGTTTCCCCTGGGAACATTTTCAACAAAAAATTCAAAGTGGCTTCCCTTGAATTTTTCCGCCAAAAAAATGTAAATATCACCTTGCGCAAAAATGTCATTGCAAAAAATTGTCAAACAACCTTTCTTTCCAGATAGCTTTACACAATTGCAGTTTACTTCGTTATAAAGATCAATTTTTCAATCAACGATTTTTTTCTTTGAACCATTTTGGTCAAGAGAATTTTTTGCGCAAGATGATATGAACATACTTCTACGCTACCAATACTCAAAATTGCGAGCTAAACAAAAACACTCTAAAGCTTGCCATGTTGCCGAGAAAAAGATTAGGTTTTTGTCAGTGGCACAGGACAAACAAAACGCCTAAAATGGATCAGAATTTTGCAGCCAAAATGAGTTTTGTTCTTTTTCTCTTCAGTGGCAAGGGTTTAGATGGTCATATACTTTCTTGGCTTCACGTTTCTTTTTAAATAACTTTGTCAAGATCTTGGTCGAGTAAAATTTTATTCTTCACCATTAAAATCATCAATTCAGCTTTCAAACTCAAAAGTTTTATAAGTCGTGTTTACAATAATTGTTGGCTGATAAAGATCTCTTTACATTACAACTAAGACAATAAAACTCAATGCCTGGTTCAAGGAATAATATGAAAGAAACTCATTATGAGCGCAGTTTTACATTCAATGACGAAGTTTTGCAACAAATTATACAGACCACAAAAAACATTTCTATTTACTTTTGTTGTACAAGAAATTTCCAAGAAACAGAAAACTTACAGCCTATAGTATCCGACAATTTTTGTATGGTGATTCACCTTTGGTTTGTTCAAATTACAAAAAATGTTTTCAAAAGTAGGACGACAATTTACATTTTTAACATTCCAACAACTTACGACGTTTTTTTCGAAAAACAATATAAAGGTAGATATATACTCGTAACTTTCAAATGCGTTCGCTGTAGATTACGTGCAAGAACTGAATTCGTGATAAAACATTTCCTTTTTTCTGAAACTTTTGCAAACCGAATTGAATGCAGCTTCCACCTTTTTTCGATTGAATTTGACAAAAATTATTTCCTTTTGATGAATTTATGATGTGAAAGATCAATCGTGATTGCTTTCAACGTTTCCTAGAACCACGACCAAGTAGGACTTGATGGTGTATTACGGCGCTTTCGAGTTGAACCAGACATTTGAGTTTTACACATAGAACTTGCAAAACCACAAGATAACTTTTAGCGTATAGGCTTTTCGTCCATTTTTTTTTATAAGAGATCGCAGTTTTTTTAACACGCAGCAATTCGACAATCGTACAGTAAACAGTGAAAATTTGTTGTAACACGTTGACTGATTGGTCATTGTTACCGTGATTGAATCGAGTGTAAAATCCGCGTCGTTTGTCAGTTGTGACTGGTTAGTGTGATTGTTCACTCAGTTCGTTTCCTTTGTTATGTTTATGTCTAAAATAAATGCTTTTGTAAGGTGTATTCTGTTGACATCAAAGTAGGGGCTATGCTTGAAAACAAATCACCCCTACTAGTCAGTCGTTGAAAAATGTCTCAGAATTTAGACTGAATTTTTGGTAATGTGCAAGGCAATAGTGCTAGTCTTGTGTTATATTTACAGCTAGTTTCAGTTTATGGAAAGCCCAGCAGTTGAAACACTTGTTCAAGTAAACCGTGCTGTCTGTTACTAGTTTCATCTTTGTCTACAACATCGGTCATTCTACGTCATGTTCTTTGAATCAGCCATATGGTGTTGGAGTGCTCTCTGTTAGAAGTATGGTCAATGTAGTCGTAGTAGTCCAGTGCAGTTAGCGTTCGCTTCAGTAAGTTCAGTAAAATTTCATTTGCGTCTAATTTGAATGATGTAGTAGTCGCAGTTGTAAAAACCACGATATCTTAACTTGTTTTTGAACGTTTAGGTCCATGATGCCTTGCGAACTAGGTGTTCTCGTCTCGTTAGTTCCTAATTGTCGTATCTTTGTGTGATTTGTGATGGTGGGATGATGTGTATAGAAATACGTCAGCTGGTATTCATTGGTTTTTTTGTAAACGGTCTAGAAAAGTCATTGTTACATCCTTAAATTTTTTCGTGAACTTAACGTCAGCGTTCTGTTCGTCATTGTGTGCGGCGTCAATGTATCGTCATCCCAGCGCAAGCGAAGGAACTTAGCTTTTGTTTTAGGCAAATAAATGGATGATTTTTACTTTTTGATTGCCATTGTTCTCTTGTTGATTGCAAGATTGATGAAGAAAATGTGTGAATATTTCAAGTTGGCACTGAATATTGTAAAGACAAAGTTTGACCAGACTACTCGTTTGGAAAGTTGAATATTTTTCAACACAAAAAATTTAGAAAACCAAAACAATTCCATGCTGTGCAAACGTTTGAATGATAATAAAAGGGCGATTTTAGCTTTTTTTTAAAGTTCAGAGTTTTTCCTCAAAATACCATCTGTCTCGCATACAGTGCCATCCTAAAAAATCACTCAACTGGTGGCTGCCATCGTCACCTCTGGCCTGGTCTTTTGAAGAACTGCACCCCCTACTTCTCAGACCCATAGATTTTTTTAACCAAGTCTGTCCTGTTAATCTTGACCTCGACATGAAATTCAATTGATCGAGGTTCCTTAGAAAATCTAGAAACAGAGACAGCCACCATCCTCACTACAACTTTAAGATAACGTTATAAAGTTCTTATCTTAGTGAAGTGTGCTCTTGATTCAGTGATTCCGGTTTGTCCTCTTGAATTCTTTGTTCTTTTCGCTGAAGAAAAACGAGAAAAACAATTTTAAGTCGGTTGACAAGTTCCTAGCTTTACACATATTTCAGTTATAGCTGCACATGCGAGGACGACTATTGCGAGCTGGTAGAATATTTAAGACGCTCAAACGATATTCCTAGTAGCAAAACGAAGGTTATTTTAGAGATACAGTTACGACAGAAATTCAAACGCACTTGACTGCGTAACATAGTAAAAGTTTCAACTAGTGAAGAGCGTATTCTTCATAAAAGAAATGAGCGTCGGTATTTGAGAGAAAAGCTCAGAGTTATAGGTAAACCGAAAACGCTCCTGTTCAATAACCTTGCATTTTCCTCCTTTAAAATGGACATTAAATAAAACTGTACAACAGCAATGCCCACCTTATAATATCATTAAGCTTCAGTCCCATTCCAACATCAAACACGTTCTTGGTACAGACTACTCTCACCGACAATAACACGTCCTCACTTGTCCACGACCTGTTTGGTTTGAGAGAAATTTAGAATTCGCTGTGGATGTCGAAGATGGAAATAAACCAATCACTGATGAGTACGTCACAATTAGCACAAGATTCTTGTTTCCACGCGCTCTAAAGGAACGTATCAGAAACCTCTACTGAATTAATTCTATTGGTTACTCCACTACGCGTGTTCTTCTTACTTTATCTCAGTCCCTCGTGTTCTTAAAAAAAAATTGAAATTAAATATTTAAAAAGATAAACTCGATAAAAAGATGACATCCGCAACTAAGGAGTTCACTAAACTTAGAAAAATATTTATAAGCAATGGCTTGGTGGAAAAAAAAAATCATCGAAAAGAAAAAGGTTAACAAATAAATCAAGCAAAAAATGCCTAAAGATTATTTACAAAATTGATATCACATGGGAAAAGGAACGAATCATCGCTAATTCAGAAAAAATTGTAAAAAATAAATCAAACATTAAAACGGCAAGTTCCCTGGAACAAGATTTCCATCCTGACTGGGACTGCTTTCGCGGTAGAATGCTCTACCCACTGAGCTGCGGGGAACTTTTAAAATTATATATAACAAGAATTCTACGGAACACGAGGAAAAAGTGCACAGGGATTATGTGGAAAATTGTGTGTTTTGACTCTAAATGACTTTGTTACAAAAACCTTGCTGTGTTATTTGTTTAATGTTTAAATTCAGCAGCGTTCTGATGCATGTCATCAAATAAGAGTGTAGGAAAAGGTAAAACTTGCCTATAATTAGAAGAAAACCTTTTCCAATGTAATGAAGTGAGAGGTGAATACAAAGATATACTCCAGACTATTTATAAGCTTACTATAAAATGGAGAAAGAAACAAATAATCGGGAAAAAAAAGATTAAAAAGAGAAATCAAACAAAATAAAAACGGCAAGTTCCCCGGAACAGGATCTCCATCCTGACTGGGACCGCTTTCGCGGTACAATGCTCTACCCACTGAGCTGCGGGGAACTTGCCATGGATGGCGAGCAAATTTTAAGATTATATGTAACAATTGGAGTACTTACTGCAAGGAACAAGTGCTCAAACCTCTGTGGAAAACGGAGAATTTTGTTATTTAATTTAATTATGTTCTGATGCAACAGCGTTTCGATCGATGCATGTCCTGAATGTGAAAGTGAAGGAAAAGTTGAAACTCGGCCAATAGTTGGGAGAAAACATTCGCCAATGTAATAAATTGCAATAGACTAGCATACAAAGACGATCCAGATAACTCATAAGGTTGGAAAAAGTGGGAAAAGGA